CTCTAGTACAATGTCGAAAAATGCCAGACAATTCGGAAATCTATCTAAATTTGCCCTTGCGTAAGTTATGAGGTATATCCGTCGGTTCTCACGTTCACTAAGTGACGAATTAAAGTCAATTTGATTCGACTCTTCGTTAAAACTCGTGCTAGCTTCACCGCTCTCCATTATATCGTATTTAATGTATATAATATTAAATCTTAACAATGTTCAAACCTATGAGAAGTACTTTGAAAATTGGCGCCAAAAACTAGCGGAAGTACATTAGGCAAACCCTTATTCAAATGGCCAATCACATGCGCAGTTTTAAATAGGAAGTTTGAACTTTGTAATGAAATTAACAAGGTCATAATATATTTTGCCAAACTACAAACTAAAGTGGTAAAAAAAATTAAAAGCGGGCTAAAATCGAGAGTAATGTATGGGAAAATTCCATAATTTTTCCCATTCAAATTCATACAATCCTGGACATAAATTATTGGCAAAAGGCTAAAAACTAAGAAAATTCATCGAATTTCACCCCCCTTCCCCTAATATCAATGTTGATCGATGTATTCGAGGCCAGATAACTTGGCAAAACATTGATATTGGGGGAAGGGGGGATCATTGGGGCAAAAATGTCTTAAAATTATATTTTGAAGCAATAAACTGTTTTTTGCCACTATTTTTGTCCAGGATTGTAGTAATCATGATTTTTCTGTGTTGGTGTAATGTACTCAGGTGAATATGATGCTTGTGATGTTACTGTAAGTGTATATTCATACCGGGCAAGCTTCAAAAATTGCCAGGCCACGGCGGGAATCGAACCTACGACCTTTGCAATAGTACTCCAAAGGTCGTGTGTTCGTTTCCCACCGTGACCGATATTTATCAAGATTGTCCGGTGTGGATACACATTCAGGGTAACAACACCTGCATCACTTTAAGACCTGACTAGCAACGACTGCGAAAAATGCAGCACAAAGTCCTCCGAGTGGAAATGAACCTTATCACAATCCGATCACCTATATATACATGACCTTAAGGTAACAGCTCAAAACCTTCCACGCTATTCTTGTTTCCAGCAAATTACCATACCGTTATCATAAGAAACTGCACCATTAACATGATTTGTACCTCAGTTGTTTTTCTTTAATTTCCAGTGCTCGTTGGTAATAATCCTTAGCCTTGTCCAGGTCACCTTTTTTACTGTACACTAGGCCAAGGTTGTAATAAGAAACTGCAACATCAACATGGTTTGGATCTACAGCTGTTTCTGTCGAATTTCCAGTGCTCGTTGAAAATAATCCTTAGCCTGATCTAGATCACCTTTTTTACTGTACACTAGGCCAATGTTGTTATAAGAAACTGCAAGAGCAACATGGTTTGGACCTAGCTGTTTCTCTTTAATTTCCAGTGCTCGTTGGTATAATCCTTAGCCTGGTCCAGGTCACCTTTATCATAATACACTAGGCCAAGGTTGTTATAAGAAACGGCAACATCAACATGGTTTGGACCTAGCTGTTTCTCTTCAATTTCCAGTGCTCGTTGGTAATAATCCTTAGCCTGGTCCAGGTCACCTTTATCATAATACACTAGGCCAAGGTTGTTATAAGAAACGGCGACATCAACATGGTTTGGACCTAGCTGTTTCTCTTCAATTTCCAGTGCTCGTTGGCAATAATCCTTAGCCTGGTCCAGGTCACCCTTTTTACTGTACACTAGGCCAATGTTGTTATAAAAAACTGCAACATCAACATGGTTTGGACATAGCTGTTTCTCTTTAATTTCCAGTGCTCGTTGGTAATAATCCTTAGCCTGGTCCAGGTCACCTTTATCATAATACACTAGGCCAATGTTGTTATAAGAAACTGCAAGAGCAACATTGTTTGGACCTAGCTATTTCTCTTTAATTTCCAGTGCTCGTTGGTAATAATCCTTAGTCTGGTCCAGGTCACCCTTTTTACTGTACACTAGGCCAAGGTTGTTATAAGAAACGGCAGCATCAACATGGTTTGGACCTAGCTGTTTCTCTTCAATTTCCAGTGCTCGTTGGTAATAATCCTTAGCCTGGTCCAGGTCACCTTTATCATAATA